GCCTCTTCCAGCACAGGTAGTCTTAGCACTCAGTGGTTGGGCTCATACAACTAGCACACACCCAAGTCAACTGAAGACCTAGCAGATGCATTCACATAGCACATCAACTTTGGTTACTCTTGGTTAGGGTTTTCAACAAATCCAATCTACCTGGTCCGTTTATAGTTTGATGTATTATTGTGTACACCTCCAAAGGGGTCAGTCCACCTGAGCATGAACATGCTCCCTGAAAGCACGCCACGAGGGGCAATGGCACTAGAACAGCAGCAGCTGCAACACTCCTTCATTTGCCTGATTCATCACCATGGCAAATGACTTGTCTTCCCCTTCCGGCCCTCCACCATATAGTCATGGCCAGCCCACCTGAGCATGAACAGTGTTCCTTGTAGGAAAATGCCCTCTGCTGTTCCTGCTTCCAAACTGCATCCCTCAGTGCTGGAAGGATGGGGGGGAAAGCACAGGGCACAGTCATACTTTATCACTTGTTTACCCTGGTTACTGAATGAACTCAGTTTGGGACAAAGAAACAAACGAGCGATAATCAAGTAATAGACTAGCGCGATGCACAAGACCATTTTTTATGCCACTTTTTAACCTTTTCACCATGCAAGAAAAGAAAGTTCAGTGCAATCTACAACTTTAACATAATTGCCCATCTTGGGGAACATTGAAAACAAAATGTCAAAACAGAAGTGATTAAAGGTATGGAAGAGCAGAGGGCCTGACTATTCAGCTGGAGCCTGGACAGTCCCTGCTCCAGCCTCACCTCCGACGGACGTGTGATACCAAGCCTACCTGGGAGGGACAAATGGAGGATTGTGAGAGAAGTGAACTGCCAGCACTGTGGAAGGGGAGGAAGCTGATCTGACCCCCAATTCTGAGAGAATTAAACCAGGCTAGCGGCCAGTAGAAGGATGGAAAAAGAAGGTGAAAAAGGGATGCAGAGTTGCTGGACCTCCAAGACTCAAGATGTCTGCCTGGCAGTGGGAAGACGACAGAGCTGCTTAGAGTCAGATGGACTGAGCAGCATAAACCCCCCCACAAGAAGCACATTAGCAAACCCGGATGTCCTTTCTTCCGTGGGAGCGGTCACGGAAACAGGAAACTGGGGGAGGAGGAAAGAGGTCACTGAAATGGAGGCAGGGGCAGTTGAGCCACAGCCTTCCAAGACTAGCAAGTCCAAGGAAAGCCAGAGGCCCAATCTGGCAGTCGCGCAGCCCATCACCCTGGCCCCTTTGTCAGCTAAACAGCCCTGGGAAAAAGGCACCAGGGTTTCTCTCACTCCCCATCCTAGCCCCACCCAAACAACCACAGTGGCGCTTCCTTTTGACTTAGGGAAGATGCAACCCTATTCATCATGTTGGGCAAATTTAATTCTTGGGGAAAATTTGCACAAAAACCTAAGCCCAAGGCACGCAAAGCTCATTATGGGTTAGTATTCTACGTGAGCATGTTAAGACTGCCAGAAAACCCTCACCTGATTTCTGAGAGGATTAAAAAAAAAAGTTATAGTCATGTTGGCCTAAATATTAAAAAAATGGGGCAAAGGGGCTTCATTACATTCCCATACCCCTTTTTAAATAGCCCACTGCTTGCGTTAGAACCCGTGTAATAACTGTGCATCTCTTTTTGTAGTAGTCTGGTCAGCCCTTATAAAGATATCTCTGAGACAGAAAGAGACCGGAAGAGCGGCAGGGGGTCCACTGCTACGTCTTCAGATCAAAAGGAGTCTCCTTTCTGGACAATAAATAATAAAGTTAACGTGGATTTATTTGCATTTTCATCTTACAACTTCTGCCTCATTCTGTGAAATTTATTGGGAAAGAGATGTTGGAAACCTTGTTAAAAACAACTTGCTAGATGTTAACACTGATCACAAACATACTGATAGCAACTGCCAACCTGAAAAAGAACTACAATCCCCAGATGCCTCTGCCATTACAGAGTTTAAAAAGGAAGTCGATAATTATACCCCACACAATAGCTTTTGAAGAACGTTAACACGTGGCTTTATAACAGCCTTCGGTATAGAACAAGATGAAGTTGCACACAACCAGCCATGCTGCTGTCACACAGAAGAGAGCTTCTTGGGCTTAAAACAAGGAGCCACATAAGGCTCTGTACCTCCACCTCGCTCTCCAAGGACAAGGGCTTCGGAGCCATGTGCCAAACCCTTCTTCCCACTTTTTCTCCACCCGGGCTGAGCTGCCATTTATCCGCTAAGGTGACAATGGCCTCGCCTTCCACCTCTTGATGGATTGTTTGCCTGCCCTTCCGGGATCGCCACAACCTCTCACGGTACATTTGGCACCCAGCTCTGCAGTCCAATCCTTCATCCTCTTGGCATTCAAAAGAGACCTCTGACCTGCACAAGAACCCAGAGGTATTTCCAGTAGCGTGTACAGCACCTCCAAAACCATGTACCAAACCTTTGAGTGGCTTGATGATCCAGGCTAGGTGGGATCTATGCCTACAAGCATGCCTGTCCCTTCAAATCTGGAGGGAGATCCGTAGCTCCCAGTTTCTGCCTACTCCCAAGCAGGGGACTTCCTCCACGCACTCAGCTTGGTCTGTTACCCTGCTAGAGCGGTACGTTGCCAGGGAACGAGCAGCTCCTTTCGTTCATTTGCCCTCTCTGTCTTCCCCCTTCCTCTCCTGCTACCACTAGAAGCTGTTTTGCCTTCTGTAATGGGATGCGGGAATGACCTTGGGAGACAGGAGGAAGAGCCACAGCCTAGACAATGGCCTGATAAACAAAACCTGAGTCCAAAGGAGGAGGGTGGCGAAAGCGCCTCAGGAGGGACCCTCCCTAGTTTTCGGGAGAGTAAAAGCAAGGGCCGGGAGGGGAGAAATACTTTCAGACTTGCAAGATTCTGTTAATGTAACCTTACAATAAAGATGGAGCTTGTGCTCCTTGTCTGGACTACCTCACAAGGCACCTCCACACATAGACTGGATGGAGCAGACCTTCCCTTAGGACACCACCGAAAGCCACGTGTGCAACTTGAGCCACACTTGGACCGCACTGCTCCCAAAGGCTGTGTGCTCTAGCACCAGGCCCGAGCCCTCGTTGCTCAAGCTAGAACTGGACTTTGGACTCCCAAAGTCGTTGCGTCACCGTCCTTCAGAGCAGGACCACAGAGGGCACAACTGGAATTACAGCATCTCTGTACGAGCTCCTAAACGTTGAAGGAGGCCTCTTGTTGTTCCTAGTGTGCAAAGATAACTGATTGTGCAAATCTGCACTATTATTTAAGACGCGTTGAGATCTGCTGCCAGACTTTAGGCTATCCATCTCTGCTGTCCCAGAAGCAAAACCCTTCAGTCAGGAACTAACTAATAGCGAGACTTCAAGGGTGCGGTACTACCAGATAAACTGCTTCACTGCAGGCAAGATAGAAGTCACACACGCAGGGAAGATGCAAAGCCACTGCAAAGCCCAGCAGTCAAGCCCGGGTGTCTCTTGCCCCCAGGCTTAACTCTGAGGCTCTGCCTCCTGCCCATTCAGGTCAGTGGGAGGCATCTGCTCAGTGTTCACACAAGTCTTCTGTCTGGTCTGAGAAGCATCAGGCCTTGTTTTGCCAGCTCAGCCCTTACACATGTGTGATATATTAACCACTGCATAAAATTCTTCTTGGCGACACCAGCAAATTCAAAACGTCAAATGGCATCAGCTTAAGAGACCCGACAAGCCCATGAAGTTGCTCCTGCACAAAGTTTTACACACATCTCCTACCTTAAGGCAGAAATGCTTCTGCTTCCCCGCAAAGTAGATAGATTTGAGCAGGATCTATCCAAGCAAAACAAGCCCTCTGCCAGAACAAAGCAGAAGGGAACCCTGCCTACAGCCATCGACAGCGGCTTCTCTTCCACGCACAGTTCTTTTTGGCAGGGACGTCCCCGAGCCCCTTGGTAACTTTGGCACTTTGAGTATAATTCTGTACATTATTTAAGCCAGCATGTTTGCAAAGTCAGCACAAACAAAACTCACAGGGTCTTCCTTTAAAAGCTTTTGCGTCACACAGTTTTACAAGTACCTTGCATTTCCTAGGCACAGGAAGATCTTTCAATTTAGCTCAATGGGTTACTGACTTGTTTAAGAGTGTTGACAATGTGTTGGATGCTTTGAGCAACAGAAGACCATTTTTGCCCTGCGTGCCAAAGAAGCGTCCCTTCATTACTTATGAGAAAACCTGGCCACAGCCAAAAGCACTCTTCCTCAGGAATCCCAAAGATTAACCTCTATACAAAATCAGGGGATCAGAGCTTCTTTTGATCTGGTGTCCCAGAGCGTGCAAGTGGCAAGTGCGGGTTCTGTCTGTGTACCCAGGACCTACTGGAGCACCCTGAAACACAAAGGAGCAGGCGGTTTCCACTAGGGGCACTTATGATGGCCCCCTCCGGCTAATACCGTTTAATCTTGATGGGAACCCAGCCCTTCCCCAGTGGGTCCCCTTTTAGAATCCTCCTCAACTCACAGATGGGGTGGGGGTGGGGGGTGGATGCCGCTACCATTTGGGCAAATGGAACGTTTGCCTAATTGCTGTAGGTGGGGATTGGGGAGGGCAAGTGGGTTAGGGCTGCTCCTCCCCATGCCCTGCAACTCCCCCTCCAAAGCCATTCCCGTTCCCCAGGGAGGCAAGGCAGCTGCTGTAAGGTGAATAAAACTCCTTTTAATAAGAGGTGGGGCAGGAAGGTATGCAGGGAGAGGGGAAAAACCAGAAGCCTACTCAGAGGTCTGATCTTTCTCAAAGACAGATCTCCTGTGGGAGAATCCAGTCTTCACAGAAGCTGAGCATCCCTGCTTTTATTCCACAGCAGCACAAGCTAAGCCCAGCCTTTGGCCTCACGGCACTTAAGTCATGGCTACTAAATGCTTGGCTCTCCGGGTTCTCAAGTGTACATTGTTTCTTGGACCACAAGATCAGCCTTCAGAGAAACACAAACAGACTCTACACACCAAGAAATGGAGCGAAGGAAAGAATTTTGGCCAGCTTTACCTCCCGGAACTGAAGCCTCACTTTATTGATAGCTCGGATCCAACGGGCTCTTGCAGGCGCGAACAGTGGAGACTCTTTTCCATCAAGGCCACTTGCAAGAAACGAAGAAAAAGAATGAATGTAAAAGCTACCATGAGATGGAGTATTTTTTAATTGGGAAAACTTGCATTATAAGGATTCATACCTATATTGCTGCAGATTTACATTGTCAGCACAGCATAAAATGTAGCAATTATATTGATTACGTTGATCGATAAATGGGACAAAGATCACATTGCCCTAGTTCTAGGCTCTGTTAAGCTGTTGGTTTTAACTTTTAAAGCCCCAACACAAGCTGGGGGCTCAGTTGAGCAATGACCTTCTCCACTTAGTGGGGTCCACTACAGGAGAGGCCCGTCTGCAGACCGTTCTGTCTGAAGTGGGCTGATGGGAAAGACTTTCCACCATGACAGTCCCAAAGGAGAAACACGTCCATTCAGCCCCCTTTCCTTTAAGTTTTGAGCAAAAGAGCAAGACACCGCTCTTTAAACCAGTATTTTAAGGTGCAATGTTTTACAGTAATTTTAATATTTCTAAGATATCAGGGTTAAGTAATAAAATGGTAAGATATGGGCTACATAACACCACCAGCCTCACTGGTGACTGAATTTCCACACCCAGCGACTAGTCATAAACAGCTTCACCGCAGCTGGGGGGAAATATCAAGGGGAGGCCCTGGGCTGCATCGGTGAGTTAAGGGGACCCTGAAACCTTTGCAGGTGAGAGAAAGCTGGGAGGGGCGGCTGAAACTTCAGGGGGAAGAGGTGAAGGGGGCCTGAGCGGTGGGCCCCGAAGAAGAGGAGGGGAGCGGGCAGGGAGGGAGGGCACTTTCTGGGAAT